TTTTTTTCATGATTTTGGACAACATACTATACTATGACATTTTTTTATTACATTTTTATGAAACATACTATACTATGACTTTTTTTAAGGAAGCATACTGTACTATGACATTTTTACAACATTTTTAACGACACAATAATTATCACATACTAAAGCGACTTCTCATGAGATTTTTTGTGAACTACTATTTGAGTTGTATATGGCTTTTTAATAACGTAATATTATGACAGTTGTTCAAGAATAACTTCTAGCTGTGTATCTGCCGCTGTCACCATGTTAAGGTTCATATGACGGTGAATTACTTTTCATTAGAAAAACAAACTCACCAGCTTCAGTAGCACAAGTCACCAGCCATCGCACCATCTCTCTCCTCCGCCAGTTCAAGGTAGACAGTGTCATTCTCATCACCTGTAAGAAACACGACATTAGTTCTGAATCTGCGTGATATTATTTGTGTTAATGTGTGTTACTGTGTGTGTGTGTGTTGTTTACCTGAAGACCCAGCTCCAGGGAGACTTTGAGCAGCGTGATGTCTGGCAGGCTGTCCATGAGAGTGGCAATTTTGAAGGCATCCTGGGCCAGTTTGAAGATGTGGGATGAGGAGTGGATGTTCTTCTGGATGGACTCTAACACTGTTTCAAGCTTACGAGCATCGCCTGGTAACACAACACAACAAACAGGGACAGAGAAGTCATTCACACCTTCCAGTGTTGGCTTGAAATTCTTTACTCAAACACAGCTGGTTTATTTTCACATGACAGGACTGTAGCATTTAGGAATATAACAACTGGGGTGACAGTGTACAGACTACAACCTGTTTTTATTATGTATATACATTTCCTACATTACTGCACAACCTGTTTACATTATAGTTTATACCTTTTACCATTACTGTACATCTGTCTACCACAGTATTTTATTTTTTAACTGCTGAACTCATATCTTTGTCTTTGATTCTCATTTTATTTACATGGCTCTTTTCTTTTATATACGTATAACACAAAGAACTTGAAGAGTACTTAGTGTAGTTTAGTTTAACTCCTACGCTCGTGTTTGTACTTCCAAATATCAGACCTATCAGAGCTGTGATAAGTTACTGCTAATGCAAAGGCTTTTATTATGAAGCAGCCTCTGGAAATGAAAAGCTTTTGTCACTTCTGGTATAGACACTTTGAGAGGTGATATTCCTCAATGAAAATGGGTCAACACAAGTCACGGTGAGCTGAAAAGAGCTGCAGGTGTTTTATGGTTAAACAGCTATTTTATGACCTCCAACACATCATCAGGTCAACAACCTATTTTATCTCGTCAGTTTCATTAAAATAAGGTATTAAAGAGTCTTTCATTTCATTTAAAAAGCTCTTGCCTGCTGTAGGCAGCAACATTGGCTATAACCTTTTTTGTAAGCGTCTGTCGGCTGTCATGAGACGTTTTACACCAGTTAATTAGATGGGGAGTGCATGCACGAGGCTGTTTGATCCTTTTTGTGGAGTTTGAGTCATAACTGTCAGACATGCAGCAAACAACTATCCTACTTTAGCCAGAAAGCTCATCAACTCAAAATGGACAGTCAGAAAAAATCAGAAGCCATTTAAAAAAGTCACTTGTACCAAAAATGTACTGTCAAAAACATCCTTCCTGGGCTTGAGAACAGCTGTGTGTGTGTGTACCTTTAGCAGCAGTGAGCATGGTGGAGGCCAGTTCACACTGTTGGGTCTCTATGTGGCTGAGAGTGAACCAGCGGGGGAGGCGGTTGGGCACCACTGACACTATATGGTGAGGCCGAGACAAGTCACCGGAGGGGGCCGTGGACTCCAGGACCGGCAACCTGAGAACACAGAGAGGTGAAAATAAAACTTTATTAGACGTCAGCACTCAGGAACTGATGTGAGGAACATTTCATGAAGAATTTATTACATGTTCCTCTCATAGAATCATCAATAGTTTCCCTTCAAACATAAACTGAGGTGGATCTTCACTTCGGGACGTGATAACTGAGAATACGTTTAAAAATAACAGCTTAATTTCCCCACAAACACACTCCAGTTAGACCCTGTAACAGCTGCTGTGAGACCACGTTTCTGTTCTCTAATATTCCTCCTTTGTAATTCAAGCCTGGAATTAAAAAAACATAAAGATTTACATATCATAAAAATCAAAGGGGTTTAATTTGGGCGAGAGGATATAAAGTTTCGTAACACCCGTGGCGGTCAGGGAGGAAACCAACAGCATGTATTTATTATTCACACATTTTTATAAAACTCGTTTTCAGCAGCGCTGAATTATTTAGTGAATATTCCAGCAAAAGGAAGTTTTGTCATTAAACGGCGCCCCAGATAGCTCCTAAATCTGCCGCTCCGCTCCGTCTCTGTATCCATCACACTCACTCACACACAGACCAGAGGAGGCAGAGGAGCAGAGTTACATTTAAAGGTTTGGTCCAATTCAGGGCAGAAACTCCTCGCTTCACTCCCTCTTTATTTCTGTTCCTCCTCTCAACACTTAGAATACAGCCCCTTTTACACAGAGGTGGCGCTATAGAGCTACACAGTCCCTTATTTATCCCTCCTTTGCATCTTTACACAGAACCAAACAACAGTGGCATCATCCTGCTCCAGTGTGTGATTTTAGACGGCATACCAGCATTGTGGAAGCATATGAACCTCGAGTTGGCCCCTAGTGAGACATATAACATACCCATTTGCAGCACTTCATAAACTATAAATAAATAAATTTGAACAATGGCTTAACATGTCAATAATACCATTTAAGGTCCCTGTTATATGACGGCTGATCTCGCCCTTTGCTCGGAGGGTAAGGAGCTTCCAGACCTCATTGTTTTCCCAATTTGCGGACATTTTCAGCTGCTGTTTTTCTTCTCTGAGTTAGCTGCTAATTGCTATCAGCTGCTTTTTAAACCTCCCGCAGTGTGTCGCATGCATAATATGTCGCAAAATGATCCTGTCCTGTTTATACAGGCATCGTTTCGCCGCTGTTACTACCTCCGATGCCGGCTAAAAGGTGAGACAACTCTGTCACCCAAATCACTGACTGTACCTTTTACACCGAGCGGCAAAGCGGATGACGAAATTAAACTTAATGAGGCAGTGTAAATGGGGCTTTAGTCCACACTAAGCTGGAGACATTTGTGAACACGTCTTTTTTTCACTGTTTCATTTGTCTCATTCAAAAATGCTGAGCTCTTCCTGTCGGGCAGGAAATCCAAAGTGTGGGATCATTTTGAGAAGGTGAAGGACGAACCCAAGGTGATATGTAAACTCATCTTCATTGGTCGACTACAA